ATAGATACCTGGGGGTGGGGGTGGGGCGGGGATATAGCTCAGTGGTGTAAGTGCCTGCCTGGCAAGTGCAAGGTTCTGAGTTCGATCCTTGGTACCGCCAAAACTAATACCTTGGGAGGATCAGTGTGAGTTCAAATCCAGCCTGAGCTACAAATGAAGTAGATATGAGGTCAGCCTGAATTGCATAGTGAGACCTTGTCTCAAAAATGCAAAAAATGAAAAAAAAAATGCAAAAAAGGAAAGCAAGAAGATAGGGTCAGGGTGTGGTTCAGTGACACAGCTTCTTGCCTGGCGTGCACAGGGCCCTGGGCTCACATAGAAAAGAAAGTGAAAAGAAAACCTCCCCAAAGATAAGAATCATAGCGAACATTTAGCAAGCAGGTTACTGTGTTCCAGGAACATAGTGCTTTGCATTTTCACAGCTACCCTGTGACGTAAGTGCTATTCTCTCCCGTCTTACCAAGAAGGCTCCTGCGAGCCAGAGCAGTTAAAGAACTTGTCCTAAGTCACAGGTGTGTGGGTGGCGGAGCTGGGATAGATAGATAAATAAATGCTATAGTATGTGGTTAGGGTTTTCCTTAATTAGGAATATGAAGCTATAGATAACATTGTATAATGTTATGTTTTTACATTTTTGCAAGTTCCTCATGTCTTTAACATCCAGATCCAAGCCCTTAACCCCTGTCACCCTCTCTTCCAGGAAAACTGCAAAAAGCACACAAACATACAAAGGAAATGCAAATGGCCTGTACACAGATGAGAAGATACTGAGTCATGTTAATGATTCTAAGATGCAAATTTTCTACTCCAACATCTGAAATCAGGATGCATCTTAGGACATCGTAGAGTCAATGAAATACAGTAAGAGAAATGCAAATGAAAACCACCTATCAGATGGGCAGAGGACTCAGCATTTGATAACAACCTCTGTTGGTGAGGCTTTGGGGAAACCAGCGCCCTCAGCACCGGGAGTAGAAACCGCAGAGCTGCTGTGGGAGACTGGCGCACGCTTGCACAATTTCAATCACTGGCAGTCTTGGGTCCTGATTCAGTGTCCAGGAAATGGGTCTCCAGATCTACAGGCCTCACACACCTGTGATCCCAGCACGGGGGAGGCTGAGGCATGAGGGTCACTCTGAGTTCAAGACCAGCCTGGGCTACAAAGTGAGTCAAGACCAGTCTAAATTGGGGGCTGGGCAGAGAGCTCAGTGGAATAAATGCTTGCCTCGAGGTCCTGAGCTCGATCTCTGGTACCACTCCCCTCTAAAAAAAAGCCTTAACTGCACAGCAAGATCCTCTCAAGAAGACAAAAACAAAACCAAAACAGATCCACAGGCCTTAATAAGCCAAGACTAAGTTCTGTCTGGTCTGTGACCACAGCTTGTGAAACAAGCCTGAAAACCACCTCAGAGAAACCCTGACGAGGTGGTACACACCTGCAACCCCAGCCACTGAAGAGGCCAAAGGTTGGAGGCCAGACCGGACAATTTACTGAGGCCCTATCTCAAAAATAAAAAGTAGGGTTCAGTCCCCATTACAGAAACACAACAACCACAGACATTGGGTTCACTGGGACACTAGAATGTTACAGAGCTGAAAAGTGGATAAGGAAATTATTAGATTATTGATAATAATACTGTCCCCAATTTGAGCATGGTGGGGCACACCCATAACCGTAACACTTGGGGGGCTGAGACAGGAGGATCGCCAGGAGTATGAGGCCAGCCTGAACTACATAGTGAGTTCAAGGCCACCCCAAACCACAAAGGGAGACCCTATCCAAACAAGCACCCCCCCCAATAACACTATCTCCAAAATACATAAAATGAAAAAAGAAGAGGAAAACGCATAACTGTGCATCACGTCCTGTGTTCTGTGTGAAAGGGGTGTGTGTGGGCAGCTCAGTGCTTCCGTAAGGGACTTCCAAGGGTCTTATAAAAGTGATGGCCTTAGAGGGGGACTAAGGGGTGCGGGAACACAACCTGAGAGGTCACTCTTCTCCAGGCCAGGGTGCTAACTTTTCTGTAAAGAGCCAGAGAGTATGCATTTTAGCTGTGTGCTCTGGTTGGTCTGGGTTGTTACCATTTGTTTCCCTCTGTTGCTACAGAGCAAGTGCCTCAGACAATAAGGTAAATGAGTGGGTGTGGCTGTGCCCGAGCAGGCTTCCCAGGGACACGGACACGAATGGGACTGTTCCGGACTGTAAAACACCCACCCCACACAAACATCTAAAAAATGCGTGCTAGCCAACCCTGGTGGCGCGTACCGATGATTCCAGCATTCTGGGAGGCTGAGGCAGGAGGATGGCAGGTTTAGGATGGTAACTTAACAAGTTGGCGAGACCCTGTCTCAAAAGAAAATGGGGGCTGGGGATATAGCTTAGTGGAAGATCCTGGGTTCTGCCCTCAGTATCACCAAAAAAATTTAAAAAGAAAAAAGCAAAAAAAAATCTTGTGGGCCAGAGAACAACCACTGGCTATGGCCAGCCGACCTTTTGGCTCTTTTCTATGGTTTGGTTAGTGTTTCTTAGTTTACGCTGGCAACGTGTAGAAAAGTGGGCTGAACATTTGGAGTTCATCTGGAGGGTGGGGGTTGAAGCTGGCCCTTTTCCTGAGGTGCTCTCTTCTCCTCCTGGGAACCTGTTTGCCCTGAATACTACCACCAGGGGGCAGCACAGGCCCGCCTAAATCTGGGCCACCCCGCACGCAGCAAGGTTGGCTAACATTCCTGTTTCATTCTGCCCACCGCGTTTTAGACATGAAGCCAACACTGTAAAAATCTGCATGTCTTCCACTTTTCCTTTTGGCAGTCCTGGGGATTCTTGAACGCAGGGACTTTGCACTGAGGTACGTCTCCAGCCCTTTTTCCAAATTTGGAAGCAAGGTCTCTAAATCGCCCAGGTTGGGCTCAGACTTGTTATCCTCCTGCCTCAGCCTCCCAGAGGGCTGAGATTACAGGCTTTCACCACCACTCCTGGCCCCTCTTTTGTTAGCTGATGTGGATAGCACTGCACCCTGGGGCCGGGTGTGACCAGGCCATCTTGGTCTCTTAAGTCAGCTGCTACTTCTCCTGTAGCTGTTCTCCCCCCCCCCCCATAGGACACATCACTTGTCACCTGCCTTACCTCCCTCCTTCCACTTGATTCCTGAGGGGAGTTAGAAGCTCAGGGGGGTCTGGGTTGAAGCTCACACACACAGCAGCCGTGTGACCTTGGGCATGATACTAGACCCCCGGGGCCTCAGATTCCCCATCTGCAAATGGCACCAACAGTAGTCACTTCTTAGAGCAGCAAAGACTGCATTTATTTGTTTGTATATATATTTTTAATTTGATGTATTTGGTACAGGGTCTCACTATGCAGCTCTGACTTGTAGTGATCCTCTTGTTTTCAGCACCCCCCCCCCACCGCGCGCGCTAGGATTACAGGTGTGCACCACCATGCCCAGTCGTGGTGGCTGGCTCAGCATGCCTGGAGCGGGGCTAGAATGGCCTGTGGTACTGAGGAGCGAACCCGGGTCCTTGCGCTTGCCTAGGCAGGCACTTAGACTGCTATCTCTGTTGCCCTTGCTTGTAGTTTTAAGTCAAGGGCTCTCCCTATAGTTTAGGCTGGCCTCAAACTCATGACAGTCCTGCCTCAGCCTCGCGAGCGCTGGGATTACAGGTGTGCACCATGTGTGGCTTGCACGGTCTGCTTATGGGACCTGTGCAAACTCTTTGCGGTCTGCAGTGTGGCCACTGTTTGGTAGTAATTCAGTAGCATTTTCCCATTTGGCTGTTGTACACGCTACACGCACGCAAGCCCCTAGCCCCCAAGTGGCCCTAACACTAACCAGAGCAGGACATGTCTTTTTGTCTGGCAGTTTTCGGGAGATGCAGATAGTTTCAGGCCCAGCTCTTTTATTACTAGCTGTGGGCCCTTGCACCAACCACTTTCCCTCTCTGGGACCAAGCTGAGGTTTTTGGCAGGCCCCAGAGAACAGGCTCATATCTGCAGGGCGGGAACAGGAAGACAATTCCTGCAGCCCTAAGGCTGCTCATCAGGCCCCACTGGAATGTGGCTATTTTGTAGTTAACACCTTCATTTTCTTTTTGGAAGCTCCCTCCTATTGCTTGGGGAGAGCCAATCCCACCCTTGCAACGAGAGGACCTGTTGCAGTCCTGGCCAATCAAAATAGTTCATCCTCCTTTGGCCAAGGTGATTGGTTTAAGGGTAGTCACGTGACCTGTTCCAGGCCAATGAGAGCCTGCCCTGGGACTTTTTAACTGCAATCATCAGGAGGAAGACAGACTGGGCCATACAACAATCACAGCACAACCACTGGCCATAGCTGACCCTTTTTCGTGCTCCTTTTGTATTTATGCAGGTAACACCTCTATGTGGCCCAAGCTGACTTTGAACTCATGACAACTTTCCAGCCTCCTGAGTGCTGGTATTACAGGCATGTATCACCCCTGGGTGGTTCAGTCACTTTAGCTATTAATTTCTGCCTTAGTTTCCCGTCAGAGATAACAAATTTTAATACCCCTTGCCTTAGTACTAAGTGTACTGGTGGCAAACCTGGAGGAAAATAAAGTCATGGGTCATGTTTTTAAAAAACAAACGCTGCTCTAGTTTTCTCATTTCCTGTTCCCAACACCATCAGGCTTGCTGCTTCTCCAGGGGGGTTCTACCCCACTTGGCTTTCTTCACAAATCATCTGAATCTCCGCATGTATTTATGATGTTTATTGTCTCTTTCCTTGGTGGGTCACTTCTACCAGGGCTGTCCCGGTACCCTAGTGTCCAGGCCTGAGCCCTACACACACGAATGCTAACAAGCCTCTGTGCAAGGAATTCTCCGATCCAGTCTCCTGCCACAGTACCTGGAGCACATGTCAGTACTGCTTCAGTCTCAGGTGACAAAGTGATCATCCTGAGGCCACAGATGGGTGACCTGGAAATGGGGTTCACCTCCTGGCTCTTGAACACGCCCCCACAGCCATCCAGGAACCACAAGGCAGTCAAGGTTAAGTTGACTCTTGGTGCTTTGTTATAAATATATTACGTACATCCAAAACATGACATTAAAATATTACTCCGTGTTACAGAAAAAGATATTAAGGCTTTCTATTATTTACATTAAACAAGCAAGCACCTTTAAAAAAAAAAAAATTAAAAATGTCCCACTCTTCCTCCTGACACCTTGGCCAGAAGGGACATAGTGTCCCCTTCCCAAATGACCAAGACTTCTTCAAGCACTGTGCCCTGCAAAGAGGTCCCCTATGGAAGTGTCAGATCTGCTGGAACACGTGGGCACATGGGGGAGGGCTGGGAAGGGAGTGCCGGAACTTGGGCAGGGGCTTCCACCCTCTTCTGGCTGGCTGCCCTCAGACCCTTGCTGAGTGCCGCCACCCTTGGGTGAAGGCGCAGGGCCACAATGGTGGCTGCAGCTGTCCACCCATGCAGGCTTCCATGATCAGTTTGCAGAGCTACAGCAGGACAAGGGTCAGGGGACACTTGTGTCCCAGGGACTCCCCGGCCTCTCTGGGGCCAGAGGAGGGCAAGGAGGTGACTTAGTGGCCCCAAAGCCAGCCACACTGAAGGGCCACCCAGGGAGGGGGGCAGGGGTGTGGCCTCTGCCCCAGGGATAGTGAGCAGGGCGGGCTCCCTCTTGTGCAGTCAGGCAGGCGGGCGGAGCAGCTTGGGAGCCCAAGGAAAGAAAATGAAAAGAGGAAATGAAAAATCAGTGGCTCAAGTATTCTGTGCCCCAAGGGGTAGGCTGGGAGTGCCTGGGCCCAGCCCAGGAGTTGTCCCCTCCACCTGGAGAGGCCAGCTCAAGCAGGCTGGGATTTGGCAGATGGCTTCGGTTCGCAGGCTGGGGAGCTTGGCAACCAGGCGGCAGGCTTGGCGAAGCTACTTGATCTTCTGGGCCCACTTCATGTCGTCTGCCCGGGGCTTCTCGCCAGTCAGGCCCTGGATGAGGTCCTCCAGGCGCCGCCAGAAGCCCACCTTCTCCAGGGGGTAGTTGAGCCAGCCTGCAGCAGGAACAGCACCAGGGGTGGGCGTGAGCGTGGGCAGCCATGCAGGGGGTGCGGGCCCTGGGGAGGCTGCAGGGGGCAAGACTGGCTCCACACCCTTGGCGCGCCTGTCCCACACTCCTTCCTGATGCTTCCTCTGCGGGGAAGCCTACCTTGACTGCCCACTGACACAGCCTTCAGCTTTGTCCCTGCCACTCCACATCGTTTATGGCCTTTCCGACAACCTATGGGTGCTGTCACTAAAGTTTCCTGTTTTATGCGGGTCCTTCCCCAGCTATAATCAGGGCCAACAGGAAGAACACCATGCTGTTTCTTCAGCACCAGCTGAGCGCCTGGCACCAGAGCGCGCTCACTCCCCAGTGTGCAGAGCTCAGTCGGTCGCCAGCTCCCCACGCCCCCTGTGAGGCAAACAGTAACACAGGCCTGTTTCTCACCTGAGGAGGCTGGGGCTGGGGGAAGGGTCTCTCCTTAGTAGGTCGGTAATTTATCTCCTGAATGACCTCTGTCCTGGCCCAAACCTACCGTCCAAGGAGTGGGGCCTTCGGGTGTGCACAAAATATTCTGTGGCTCACAGTTCTACAAAGACGCAGAACCCCAGGGGCAGCGGCAGTGCTTAGCAAGCACCTACTATGTGCCAAGCACCATGTGCTGGGCACCTCGGCATTCCCACCACAACCCTGAGTCAGTGGGCTGCGAAGAGGGGTGCTGAGAACCTGACTCGGGGTGACGAAAGTGAGCAGTGCCAGGAGGCGCCCGAGGGCACACACAGGGCAGATGAGGGGATCCTGGGGGGCCTGGCTGGCTTGGAGTCCTGGGGATGGAAACTGGGGTGCTCTGCCACTAAGCTACACATCCAGCCCTTTTTATTTTTCTGTGTTCGTGAGGCAGTCTTGCTATGTAATTCATAGTGGCCTAGAAGCCACTGTGTAGCACAGGATGGCCCTTAAATTCAGAGATCCTCTGCCTCCGCCTCCAGGTAGGCGGGGCTTAGCTTGGATTATGTTCTGAGATATCCCAGGGGGGCCAGAACTGCATGCCTTCCCACTGTGACCTCTGACCCGGCCAATGGCCCTATAGCTGGAGTCGGGGCAGCCTGGTCCATGGCACCAGTGCCACACCTGTGGTGATGCAGAAGTAGGTCTCGTGGGGCGAGACGTGGTGGATGCGGTGGTGTTTCCGCGGCAGGATGATGTGCCAGTCCTGCAGGAGGGTGACCCAGTGCGGCAGCCCAAAGTATGTGTGCGACCATTTGTGGATCTGGTTGGTGAAGGTGCCAAAGATGGTGAGACAGAAGACGAAGCACTCCCAGGCGTACAGCTGCTCCAGGGCTTCTGTGGGGGACAGGGGGACCCACAGAGGTGTCACACGGGGCAGAGCCCTCCCAGAAGCCTTGGGCTTCTTCCTCCCTCCCCACCCAGCAGCGGAGTGTGGAGGGGTACAGGCAGTAGCTCAGGATGGAGTGCTTCTGTCAGCTGGCCTTGAACTGACTATGTAGCCCAGGCTGGCCTTGAATTTGCAGAGATCCTCCTGCCTCAGCCTCCTGGGTGCTGGGATACAGATGTGGGCCACCACGCCTAGCTATGAATCTCAGACTTGTCATTGTAAAGTAGGAATAAGGGTTTTTCCCAGGTTCCTGGGAAGTTGTTTGCCTCCATGTGATTTACCCAAAGGGTGTCAGCCTAGCCCGCGGGGTGCTACTGGCTTTCCAGCTGGCCCAGCCAGAGGCGGGCACTGTGTTCAGACTTATCCCGAGGGCCTAGGCAGGACATCCCCGCCAGGGCAGTGCAGGACGGGCAGCCAGAGGGCATCCTTGCCTGCTAGACTGGCTGGCAGGGGACAAATTGCTCTGCAAACAGCCAGCACCAATGCCTGAGTTCACAGCTTTTTTTCTCCTTCAATGCATGGGATGGAAGCCTTGTTCTTGTATAAGCTGGGCCACAGTCTGTGCCCCTTCTCCCCAGAGCCGCAGGGTGGGCAGAGAATGCAAAGGAACATAGGGGATTAGTGAGGATCTAGGTAAACTGGGACATGTGGGTCCTGTCATTGGGGTGGCGGCAGCTTGGTTCCCTCTTAGTGAAGCCAGGTGGGGACAAGGACCCAGATGGCCCAGGTCAAGAGCAGTCAGGAACCCAGGTCTTTATGCCAAATTCCCCCCTTCCCTCCCCGCTGGCCAGCCTCGACCTGGCTGGGAGGCACTGGGGACTGAACCTGGGACTGCTGTACTAAACTATATCCCTAGTCCTTTCAGACAGGGTCCTACTAGGCTGCTCGTGTAGGGCTCGAACTTGAGGTTCTGTCTCAGTCTTCAAGCGTGAAATACCCCAATTTCATGAGAAGATGACAGGAGAGAAGATTTTAAATCACTATGAACGGGGCCAGTGCACTGATGCACAGCTGTAATCCTAGCAGTGGAGAGGCTGAGGCAGGAGGATCCCTGTGAGTTCAAGACCAGCCTGAGCTACATAATGAGCTCAAGGGCAGCCTGATCCCCAAAATCAAAAGATAAACAATCACTATGGCAGCCCTGCACACACCTGCAACTCCCAGACGCCACCTGGGGTTGGCCTTACCTGTGCTCTGGGTACGGAACTTGTAGGCCATGTTTAGCAGCGGCAGCAGTGTCACCAGGCAGTTGTCACCATTGGTCTCGATGAAGTCGTGCCTCGTGATAGCTGTGGGGTCTATGTGGTGCTCCCGGAAAGGGCGGATGAAAGCCTGCAGAGGGGAAGGCAACACTGACAGCTGCGGTGCCCAGGGTCTCTGGCCTGAGCCATACCTGTCACGGGCCGCCACCCAGTCCGGGCTCCTGGGTCACAGGTGCTGCCACCCCACTGACACAGCCTCTGTTTGGCCTTCAGGTTGAGGTCAAGCAGAGAGGGGTTAAAATGCCCATGGCAAGGGGCTGGGGAGATGGCTCAGTGGAATAAGCGCTTCACTGGCAAGCGCAAGGGCCTGAGTTCAATCCCCGGTTCCGCCAAAAAAAAAAAAAAAAAATAAAAATAAAAAAATAAAATAAAATGTCCATGGCAGGGACCTTCGTGCTACAAGGGCTTGGAGACAACTTCCTGCCTGCTTCTCCACCTGAGCCTTCTGAAGAAGGCCCTGAAGTAACAGATGGAAGGACCCTGGTATCCCCAGCATCTGCGTTCTCCTTTGGGGAACTGTCTGTCTGCCCCCTCAGTACAAGATGACCTGATGGGGCGGATCCCAGGAGAGCAAAGTGGAGAGAGAGATGGACGCAGACAGCCTGGGGAAGACAGCTGACGGGCCACCCCTCTGGGCCCCACTATGCCTTCGTTTTGCTTACCCTGAGATATTCAGTTATGTGAATTAGAAACCTTGTTTGAGTAAAACAGTTTGTATTAGATTTTCTTTCACAACCAAAAAAAAAAAGTCTGATAAAAGATAAAATCCAAGGTAGCACTTCAGCACTTGGGAGGCTGAGGCAGAAGGACTATCATGAGTTCGAGGTCAGCCTTAACTACATAGTGAGACCCTATCTCAAAAAAGGGGGGGGCAGGCGTGGTGGTGCACTTCTGTAATGACTGTACTCTGGAGGCTGAGATAGGAGGATTGCTGTAAGTTCCAGGCCAGCCTAAACTGCATAGTGAGACACCTTAACTCAAAAAAAGAAAAAAAAAAAAAAAAAAAAAGAAAGAAAAAAATCCAATGAAAACAAAGCCACAGGAGGGACGGAGGGGAAGAGCGGGCTGTGGCTGCTACACTGGAGGTGTCCCAACCCCCCACCCTTGTGCGCCCATCAACCCCAGGGGGTTCCTGCTCTGGTCTTGGAGGACATGCTAGAATGACAGTTCTCATCTTTCAGACAGGGATACTGAGGCTTGGAAAGGAAAGGAGACTCACCCAGGCCGCACAGCCCGACATACGCACCTTCCCCACGATGGGCAGCTCCACGGAGCCCCACGTGTCGGCTCCCCAGTGCACCAGGCCCGACAGGAAGTCAGCAATGAGAGCCCCTGCGACTGAGGACAGGAGGAGGTGAGCGGGCGGGGGACATGGCGGGGACTGTCCCTGCATCCTCCCCCACCTGGGTCACTCATTCACACACTCAGGGCTGCACGCTCTTTTGTTGGGTGAGGAAGGAGTACCTTCCCTGCTTGGGACGGTCCCTCCTGTGGGGGAAGCCTTCGCCTAAGCCCCTGGCCTCCTCGGTCCCATCCCATCCCGCCTCCTGGCGGCCACCGCTCAGGGAGCCAATGCCCAGCTCAGCCCTTCCCCACCTCGCCCTGGAGAAACATCACTCTGGACTGGGCGTGAAGGCACCGGCTGCTCAGCCGCCAGCAACCCTTTCCTTATCTCTGTTCTCAACCTGCTCTGGGTGGAATGAGGCCTCGGCGCCATTCATGCGCTCAGGGCTCCAGGTAACCCAGAGGTTAAGGGCCGTGGGATCGGGCCTTTCCATCCAGCGCCACCATGCGCCATGTGACGCTGAACACGTTCCCTAACACCTCTGTGCCCTGGGTTCCTCTTGTAAGGTAGGAATGATGATGATTATAAAAAAACATAGGGCAGGATATAAAACCAATATTAGAATAGCCCAGCCGGGTGGCACATGCCTGTAATCCCAGCATTTGGGAGGCTGAGGCAGGAGGATTGCTGTGAGTTAGAAGCCAGTCTGGGCCACACAGTTGAAAGTTCAAGGCCAACCTGCACTGCCTACATAGTGAGAGCCTGTCTCAAAAAGTCAAAATGTACAAACAAAAAAACCACATAAAATACCCCAAAAGTGAACTGGCTGAGAAACAGTTTAGGAAAACATTTTCATTCATAACCGCTTAAAAAAAAAAAAAAAAAAAAGCCTATGGAGCAACCAAATGAGGGAGAGAAAAGAGCTCTATGGTGGAAACTACAGAACACTGAAGAAAAAACTGCAGAAGACACTGATGCGCAAGACCTCAGCCAGATGCACGGAGCACACCTGTCACCTCAGCACTCAGGAGGCCGAGGCAGCAGGACCACAAGTTTGAGCCCAGCCTGGGCGATGTAATGAGATCCTATCTAAAAAACAAAACAAAACACCACAGCCAACTTCATTGGTCGTGGTTCAGCAGAATTGTTCTGCTTTGACTTGGGGGCAGGGTAGTCTATGTCCAGCCTGGCCTTGATCTCTAGGCAATCCCAGTGACAAAACGAGGAACACAACCCTAAAACGCACATGGAAAGACAAAAGAGCCAGAACAGCCAAAACAATTCTAAGCAAAAACAGCAAGGCTGGCGGCATCGCACAATACTCAGCTTCAAGTTATACTGCAAAGCCACAGAGACAAAAACAGCATGGCGCGGGCCCCAAAACAGACCTGCAGAACAACGAGCAGAACAGAATGGAGGACATCAACAGTCCCACACAACTTCAGCCACTTGATTCTTGACAAACGAGCCAAAAATATGTTGGAGAAAAGCCAGCTGCTCTAACAAATGGTGCTGGGAAAGCGGGACGGCCACCTACAGAATACTGGAACTAGACCCCTAACCATCGCCAAAAATAATCAATTCAAAGTGGACCAAAGACCTCAGAATATAGCCTGAAACTCTAGCACTGCTAGATGATAACCTAAGGGAGCCACCGGGAGCTGCTGGCCCAGGCTAACGGCACAGGGAGTGACGGCGGCAATCAACAAATGGGGCTAAATTAAAAGGCTCCTGCAGGGCAGAGGAAGCAGCCAAAGGAGCGAAGAAAAGGGAAACAATCTTTTCTGGAGCCTCTTCTGACCGAGAATTAATACGCAGAATATACAAAGAACTCAAAACTCTTAACACTGGCCCGGCACACCTGTAATCCCAGCACTCAGGGAGGCCTAGTAGTTGGAGACCTCTCCCAAGCTGTTTATAAGACCCTGTCCCAAAATTTAAAAAAATGGGCCAGGGATATAGTTCAGTGGTGTAGTGTCTGCCTGGGAAGTGCAAGGTCCTGAGTTCAATTCCTGGTTCGCACACACGCGCGCGCGCACACACACACACGAGTTGTGTGAAAACTCTGGGTTCAAACTCTAGAATCAAAACCAAAACAACAAATACTGTTAACGCTAAAAATCAAATAGCCCCATCAATAAATGGGCAAATGAATGGAATGGACATTTTTTTAAAACAGCAAAAATAGCCAGTAAGTATTTGAAAAGATGTTCAACATCTCTAGCCAGCAGCTAAATGCAAATCAAGAACTACACTGCACTGTGTGTGGTCATGCCTAGCTGTAATCCCAGAACAAGGGAGGCTCAGGCAGGAGGATCACCACGAGTTTGAGGCCCGCCCAGCCTGAACTACTGAGATTCCATCTCACCCCAGTCAGAACGGCTATCATCAGGAATACAGAAACAAGAAATACTGGAGAGGTTGTAGGGGAACCTTTCTACACTGCTGGTGGGAATGTCAATTAGTACAAGTCAGATGAAATCAACATGGAGGTTCCTCAAAAAACTAAAAGTAGGGGCTGGGGAGATGGCTCAGTGGAATAAGTGCTTCCCTGGCAAGTGTAAGGGTACGAGTTCAATACCCGGTTCCACCAAAAAAACCCTAAAAGTAGGCTTCCCATGCAAGGTTATAATAGCCACTGTGATGAATAGACGCAAAGGAGTTCGAGTTGGCACATGGTAGGCTACCTTTATACCCACATTTGTTTTGGCATGATTCTCTTATTTTTTTCTGAGACATCATGTAGTTCAACCTGGCCTTGAACTGTCTAGCCCAGGCGGGCCTCAACCTGCAGTGATCCTCCTGCCTCCGCCTCCTGAGTGCTGGGACTGCAGGTGCGCGCCACCTCGCCTGGCTCCGCACAATTCTCAGTAGACAGGACTGGAAGCCAGCCTAGGTGCTCATCCCGATGAACAGATACAGAAAGGACGGCGTGTGTGCACTGTGCAGTCCCGCTCAGCTGTAAAGGACCAGGAAGTTATGCTATGCACAGGAGAATGGATGGGAGGAGAGGTCATCGTGTCAAGTGAGGTAAGCCAGACTCGAAAAGCTGGACACTGCTTGTTCTTCCTAATACGTGGCATCTAAAAAAGATGACGCAGAAGCAGAGGGGGGACATGATGAGACAAGTGGAAAGGAAGAAGGGAGGACAGGGAATGGATAGGGGCAAAAACATCACAAGTGCTGAAAGCCAAAACTCTGCAAAATCAGTACACGCTAAGGAAAATATATTTTTTATAAAAAGAGCTGTGGAGCTACCAGCTGCCGAGGGTGTCCCAAGGTTCAGGGAACAGGGCCATGGTCACACACAGTGCACAATAGGGCTGCCTGGAGCCCAAATCTAACGCAGCAGGATGTCCCATTATCACTCACAGAGAACTCAGCACGAGTGGCCAAGTCCTAGAACTCCCTCTCCTTCCCCTCCCCCACTGCGGCCTCGGCCCCAGACCCTGCCCCCCAGCCTTCCTTGTCCTTGGTCTTAGTTGGCACCTGCTGTTCCCAGACGCTGCCCACTGTGGGCCACAGGCCCCCCAGGCTCTGTGCATCTCCCCTGGCACCATCCACCAGCATTTCCTACCCGAGACTGCTTGTCCCTTGTTTACTGTCTCCCTTACCACAAGAAGGTCAGCTCCACGCAGGCCCGGATTTGTTTATGGCCGCGTCCTGGCTGCCAGCATGTACTGGAGTTGAATAAAGTACAAAGAGCAGCTGGGTGTGGTGGCTTGGGACTGTAGACTCACACTCTGGGAGGCCGAGGCAGGAGGATAACAAGTGTGAGCCCAGCCTGGGTAATGTAGCTGGTGGCTCAAAACAAAACGTAAGGGGCTGGGGAGATGGCTCAGTAGAATAAGGGCTTGCCTGGCAAGTGCAAGGGCCTGAGTTTGATTCCAGGCACCAGAAACAAAACAAAAAAACCCCAAAATGAATCCATAAAAGAAGGGAGGGGGAATGTTTGGCACAAAGATCTTGGGTTCAAGTCAAATTGCAATAAGTAAATGAATGAATGTGGCAAAAAATTTAAAAAATTATGGGCTGGGGAGATAGCTCGGTGGTGTAAGTGCCTGCCTGCAAACGCAAGGACCCAGTTTTGATCCCCAGTACTGCATACCGTGCCGCCCCCCCAAACCCCCTACTGAGCTGACCACGGACACCAGACTTGGTGGTGCATGCCTATAATCCCAGTTCTGGGGAGGCTTGAGTCTGAGTTGCATAGTAAGACCCTGTACCAAATACATAAATAAATAAAAGATTAAGAAAAAAACAACAACTAAAAACCACAGAACAGGGGCTGGTAAGATGGCTCAGTGGTCTAAAGCACCTACTTAGAACAAGCTTAGCAAAGCACAGGGACCGCAGTTCAATCCCCCAGCACCACATGCCAGCCAGCCCCGCCCCCTGGTGGGCTGAGCTGGCCACACACACACACACACACACACACACACACACACACACACACATAAATAAAATTAAAAAAAAAAACCAAAAACCAAACCAAACAAAAAAACCACAGAACACTTAGCAGGACTGGGCCTGGTGTGGGCTGGGCCTCCTAGCACTTGGGAAGCTGAGGCAGGAGGAGCTGTGGTTGCAGGCCAATGTGTGCTACACTCAAGGCTAAAGATACACCATCACTGACAGAGGGCGGGGGAGGGGGGCAACCAGACATTCACAGTCTTGTGGCTGGGGCACAGACTCAGTTTCCCTGTGGACTGGTTGCCTGAGGCTCCTTGGTGACACAGGACTATGTGGAGGCCGTGGGAAGCCCTGGACACCTCCCTGGAGAGCGGGGCTGAGGAGCCAGGGTACAGGCTTGGGTGTGGAGCACTGTGTCCTCCCCAGGCTGGTTCAAGTATGGGAGGGATAGGGGAGGGTAACAGCTTTTGGGCGGGTGCCTCAAGACTAGGGTGGGGGAACATGAGGACAGCTGGCCCTCCCAGCATGCTTAAGTCCGGGCAGTCACTCAGGATGAGTGGTGGGTGAGCAAGGAAGGCACCAGCAAACAGCATTTTCTGGGTGTGGTACTGTACACCTGTCATCTCAGTCCTCTGGAGGCTGAGGCAGGAGGATGCTAAATTTGAACCCAGCCCAGGCAACTTAGTGAGAACTTGTCTCAAAATAAATAGAAAAAGGGTTGAGGATACAGCTTGGTACAAAGGCTCTGGGCTCAGCTCAATTCCCAGCAGCACACACACACACACATACACACACACACACAGTTTGTACTCTGCTTCCCTGTACTCTGCCCACCAAATCCACACTCCGATCCACTCAGGACCCAGCTAACGCCACCCTGGCAAGCAGGTGCACTCCACCACCGCTCCTGCCTGCTTGCTTTCCCAGCACCTGGCACCCCTGCAGTGGGCTTTGTTATCAACCTTACTTCTTGGACAAGGAAAGAGGCTCAGAGAGGGCAAGCTACCATCCCAGGTCACACAGCCTAGGACAGGCGAGTGAGGTGAGGCTCCCCTCCAACTCGTGAACTGCGCCCCGCAGGCCGGGCACTGCTGGAACTCCGACTGGAGACTGCCAGCTGTGGACCCTCGGCCTCTGCCTGCCAGGAAGGACAAGTGGCCATGTGGCAAAAGCCACAGTGGGGCCAGACAAGAACTGTGGGCCACATCTGTACACGCCATCTTGCTGTGCAGCCCTGGGCAAACTCCTGGCCTCCTCTGGGCTCTGGCATCTTCCCCCAGGTACCGTTGGCAGCTGAGGCATCCTGACAGGCCTGCTTCCCGCGAACACACACTGACTCTGCCTGCTCTACCGCGGCATGCACATGAAGCCAGAGGTCCGTGGTGTGCCCCGTGGGCCCGGCTTCCTCCACCAGCATCATCGACTGAGAGCTCCTCAGGATCTGTGTATCAGGCCTCACCCTCTGTAATGCCAAGCAGTGCTCCACCCACTGCTGGTAGAAACATCAGACTCCCCTCTGGCTTTTTAGACACTGGCTTCAAGTATGAACAGACACCCTCGTGCCCTGGGGGAAGAGGCTAGACACTTTGCTGGTTTTTTTTTTTTTTTGTTTGTTTGTTTTTCTTTTTGAGACAGGGTCTCCCTATGCAGTTCAGGCTGGCTTTGAGCTCACTTTGTATACCAGGCTGGTCTCAAACTCAAAACGATCCCCCCCACGTCAGCCTCCAGAGTGCTGGGACCATAGGTGTGCACCACCACGCCTATTTTAGATGCTTCGGTTTTGTATTGATCACTTAAGGCTCTGGGCTCTATGCCAGCACCTCAGGTATTTCCTGTCCCTTAATCCCTATGCGGCACATAGGCCGGGAGGTGGCCCATCTTATCTCTTTAATCCTCCTATTCATTTAATCCTCACAGATAATGAGGATGATGATAAGAAAAACAGTTCTTGTGATAACGACCAACACCTAGGGACACCGGGGTGTTAGGCAGCTGCTGCTGGGGGACTAGCTCCCAGTCCTTAAGTGTGGCTGGACAGGGCCTTCTTTCCAAGGACATTGGGAGGGGGACAGAGGGACATTACAGTGGAGACGCCTGACAAGGACCACCTGGGCCAGCAACCATGGCCACACCACAGCAGCAAATCCTGCTGAACGCAGCCCCACGGCCTGATGACACAAGGCGACAGCTACCCCAGTGCTGGCCACTCATGGGAAACACGGGCAATTCCAGGAGGGCCAGGCTGTGAAACACCTGCTGATTCTCCAAACCGTCATGGTCCCAAAACAGCAAAAGAGGCCTGGGAGAGACTGTCACAGTCCAGTCTGAGATAGAGGAATGCCAGATGGGATACTGGACCGGGAAGAGGACACCAGGGTCGTCTAAGGCCAACCAGGGAGCCAGGGACATGCAGCGGATCGCTGGCGCACGCCCAGTAAATGCAGCTTGTGCTATTATTGTGAGATGGTAAAAGCAGAGGCTTGGAACCCGGGTGTGGGCCTCGGCAGAGTGCCTGTCTAGCTCACTCGAGGCCCTGGGTCCGTCCAGCACCTTCTCAGCACTGCTGGAAGCACGTGCGCACATCAAATGGCAAACCAGGAATGCGGAGGGACTGCATGCTTCCTGCTCAAGCTGTTCCGTAAATCTCAAACTGCAAAACATGAAGTCTATTCGAAAAAAAGACAAAATGTCTCCCTGCATCCTCAGCCAGAGGCCCCACCAGAGACTTGCAGGGAAGGACAGCCCAAGGTCATGGCCAGTGGGGGCAGCCAGGGTCACTCACAGCGACATGGCTGAGGGGCTGGGAAATGAAGTCACCTTCCCGACCAGCAGAAGCCAGGTGGCGGGTGGGGTGACATGCCCTGCCATGATGCTCTCGAGGCCCCAGTCTTTGTAGCCTGTCGCGAGACCAGTACCTGCCTTCCAGTCCTGGCTGGATGTCAGGTTCAGCCCAGGCAGGGAGGTACCCTCTGCCTGTTCCTTTGGAGGCTGACTCCAGGCGTCTGCCCGCCTGCCCTCGAGGCTGGACAGGAAAGGGGGTGGGGCAGCAGTGCAGCACACAGAAGCTGCTTTGTCCCAGCTCTCGCTGAAGGCCGGCTCACCCCGGAGTGGTATCAACCTAGTCAGCACTCTTCCCTGCAAACATGGAGATGGGACCGGAACCTGGGAATGTCCCTGGCTACCTGCTGGGACTTCTCTGTCCCTGCCTGGAAGTTGCAGGCCAGCAGTGGAGATAGCGCGGCACTGGGGGGCACAGTGGACACAGCTGAGGGGGTGTCAGGGCCCAGGCCTTCTTCACTGCTGTGGGCTCAGAATAAAACCCAGTCTCCTACTACCTTTGACCGGAGTCCTGTGACTTCCCTGTTGACTTTTGAACTTTCTCCGCACTGAGTCCTGTGCCTGGAATACCTTCCTCCACAGCAGCCCCAGGGGACTCGGGCCTCCTGAGCCCCACACACTCACTGTGCCTTCTCCAGGGCAGCACACGCCCCACTCCATTATGGGACAGGTCCTTTGTGCGCCACTCCAGCAGTCCCTTCAGCCCCACCTTGCCAGTGCTCCTAGTTGGACCCCAAGACTCCACAAGCTCTCCGGGCCCTGGGGCCTCCCCCACAGCCTGAAAGCACAATCAGCCCAGGGCAGCCAGCTGTCTCTGGGCTTCAGCCCCATCTCTATGTGGGGCTTCTGAGTCCTGCTTCCTACAGGTGCCTCCAAAGGCCCATGTGTCTCTTTTCTGTCACCAGCACCTCCTGTGGCCCTGGCCATCCCTCCCCTCACCCTTCAGGACTCTATACAGCTGCCACCTTCCCAGAGAGGCCCCCCACTACCCCTACATTTTCACTGTGCCTGCCAGCTTCGCAGCCCATTCGGCCTGGCTCTACCAGTTCACACCTTTCATGTTTCTGCTTTTCCTGATTTCCGGGGCCACCTGGGTCCCCGAACCTCTAGAGGCATGGTGACAGGTAGGGGCAGGCACTGGCGGCTGGCACAGTGCCCTAACCACCTGTGTATTAACACTCAAATCAGGGCGGCTATTTAAATGGATTGGGGCCTGTGCAAACAGCGCTATCAGGGGACTGTCTGCTCTTATCAGCCCCGAGGCAGAGGTTCAGGCAGGAAGCTGGTTGCCACGTGGGGCTGCTCAAAGGCCAGACACTTCCAGGCCCCAGCTGGACATTCCTGTCCTAACTAGGGAGAGAAGTGGGAACCTGCCCAGGACACCCACTTCCCTCCAAGCCTGGGCTCAGACCCTGATGATGCCCATCCCAGCTGGCCACGGCCCCTCCTCCAGTTCCCAGCAGGTGGTCTCACCAGGTCAGGAAACCTGTGGCCTTAGAGCTGGCAGTCTGGATGGCTGCAGGGGCTGCCTCAGTGCGCCGGGCTGAGACCCCAAGGGGTGTCTCCTTCTGTCCTGGTGCCCGGGCTAGGGACCTAGGTTCCCCATGCTGGGGGCTGGCAGCAGCCTGGCTCTGGTGGCACTGGTCAGCTTCCTTCTCCCCATCCCTGGCCAGCACCCCAGGACATGCCCTGCCCCTCCCAGCCCAGATGGTTCCATAAGTGGCCTGAGCACTACTGGCTTAGGCTGCCAGAATGTTCTTAATGAGACTGTGGGAGCTGAAGCCTTGGGGATGGCAGGCGGGAACCAGGCCACAGCGGCCCTCAGCTTGGAGCCCACCACAGGGTGGGAGTGACTGCCCAAAGGATAGAGGGGGCCATTATGGGGAGGAGAAGGAAACTGAGTCACTGTGGGATGAGTGGAGCTGGTACATTAAGACCTAGCTTGGGCCAGGGAGATGGCTCAGTGGAATAAGTGCTTCCCTGGCAAGTGCAAGGGCCTGAGTTCAATCCCTGGTTCCGCAAAAAAAAAAAAAAGACCTAGGTTTTGCTTCTGGCTGGCACCTTTGCTGAGCCTCGGTTTCTCTTCCGGAAGAGGATGGTGACCTTAGGACCTACCTGCCAGGTGGGGACAGGAAGGACTGCCCCGGGAGAATGAACAGCAGAGGATCGAGGATGGGCAGCTGGCTTGTGGATCAGTGAGCTGGGCTCGTGTGTCAGGGCAGAGGGATGGATGTGCCCCCCACTGAGACCACGCACATGCACTTGTGCGCACATACACGCACACACACACACACACACACACACACACACACACAGGTCAAGGGCCAGCACTCACCTATGCCTAGGATGACGAGGGGCGTGTGTTCCCAGCGGGCCAGCAGCAGGAGGTGGACCAGGTTGTGGGCAATGAGGCTGAAGCACAGGATCACAGAACACCACTCCTGGAGGCGCTTGCCTGCAGGGAGAGGGCTGCTGAGCAGAAGCCAGGCTCACGGTGCTGAGCCGGCTGTGGGCCGCGCAGTGAGGAGCTGGCTCTGTCTGTGCCTTTCCTTGGCAGATGGAACCTCAACTCTGATGCCACCCAAGCCCTCTCTGGAGATGCTGGGAGCTGCGATGGACTCTGGTGAACTTGACTGGAAGCTTTGGGCACCAGCTGCCTCATGTGCTTCCTTGCAGGTGAGGATTTAGAGGTTTGGAACCTGCCCACACTTACATGGAACAGGCAACACTGGGGCTTCTAGGCTTGGCCACTGCTTGGTGCTGCCAGTTGGGCTAGGGGCCCAAGGAGGCAGAACTTCTGGTTCTGAAGAGAAGCCAGGCTTCAGGGCTTAGGTGGCAAATCTCTTCCAGTGCTGCCATTGTGTGTGTGTGTGTGTGTGTGTTACCATGACCAAACCCATGGCCTTTGCACTGAGGCACTGTATATCCCCAAACCCTTTTTGATTTTTAAAAATTTTAAGCCAGGATCTCGCTAAGTTGCCTGGGCTAGGACTAGTGCTGGGACAACAGATATGCATAACCACAGCTGCCCAGAAGCTATGTGTTTTTAACACACCCACTGGTGCAGGCAAACTGGCGGACTCACTGCAGTTTGTTTGAGATGTCAAAATTTTGGGGATAGACTGGGTGTGGTGGCACATGTTTGTAATCCCAGTGCTTGGGAGGCTGAAAACAGGAGAATCACTATGAGTCCAATCTGTGTAGTGAGACCCTGTTGACCCTGTCCTTAAAAAAAAAAAAAAAAAGCCTTTGGGGATAACCTAAGTGCTCATCGCCTGGGGATTGAGCAGACCAACTCAGCTCACAGCACCTGTGTGACCAGGTGGCAGCCCAGCCACTCTCTCTGCGTTGATGTGAGGGATGCCTACAGTAAATCAGTAGCATATTGCAGAGCAAAGCACCGACCCGCAGCCATTTATGCAGAAAGAGAAAAATCTGCGCAGTAGAGTGGTTTTATATTTACTCCTTTTTGAATGTACCAAATCAACATTCTTCTTTTAATTATAACTAATATTTTTAAAAAATAAAATGAAGTAAAAACACCACTGGCTGACACAGAACCCATGAATTAGTCCCTGGGTCCTGGGCAGCTGGTCTCAGAGGCATGAGACCCTTCAGGACACTAATAGTTTTATTACTGCTGTTCGTGGTTAACATTCCCTGAGCGGTTACTAGGTACAGGTATCCGCATGGGGAGAGAAGGCTGAGGGTCTGAGTGGTGTAGGAAGCGGCCATGGCTGTCAGCTGGCCAGCTACACACAGAGATGCCATGGCCAAGACTCTGGTTCTTAAATCCCTGCTCCCCACCCTCCCTCCAGGTACTCCATTCCCTGTCACCCAGTTGCCCTGAAGACATTCTAGGGGGTGGGGGGCCCAGACCCGCAGCCAACAGGACCAGTGGTGAAAGGACGTGTCCTCAGGCACTTGCCAGGGACCCAGTGATCAGTCAGGCCTGTGGAACCAACACACTCCTGGCCATGCTGCAGGAAGACTACCAGGCGACATTCTGGCAGAAGTGTTTTTTTGTTTTTTTTTTTTCCTCCGAATGCCTTCAAGGCATGACTGGCTGTCTTGTGTTGTGGGGATCGAACCACAGCAACCTGAGCCTGACTGCTTTGTTGAAGCAGCCACTTAAAGAACTGAGCTAAGGGGCAGGCCCCCAAAATTTATGTCTTTTTTTTTTTTTTTTTTTTTTTGCGGAACCGGGGATTGAACTCAGATCCTTACATTTGCCAGTCAAGCGCTTATCCTACTGAGCCATCTCCCTGGCCCTCCAGGCTACATTCTGGGTGCACTTCATACTTTGGAAGGAAGCATCAGGCTCCCCACTTGTTCAGATAGGGAAAATGAGGCAGAGAGACAGAAAGAGAAAAGCGACAGAACAGGTAGGTCTGGTCCAAGTTGCATAATAGCACACTGCTCCGGGCCCATCCTCAGTCAGAACCAGGACAACCCACGCTGCCCACCTCCTATCCCCTGGGAAGATCAAAGCTGAGGGGGGCGGGTACGGCAGGATGCATCCCCTTGCCTCTTGGGTGTAGCAGAGGACACCACAGGCCAGAAAGACATGGTCCTCACTGCTCCTTCCTTGCTTCTCAGCTGGGCTGTTCTCTTTGAGTCACGGAGCCTTCCGGTCCTAGCAGCCCCAGCCTGGCGTCACCCGATTAGGCCCAGTCGTGCCTTCCTCTTTCCAGTTCCTGTTTGTGGCCAGGAATTAGAAGCAGAAAGCCCCAACAGTGTGGTCGAAGAGCAAGAATACGGGGGATGCAGCCTGAAACAAAGGCCAGGGGCTGGGAGATAGCTCAATGGTCTAAGTGCCTGCCTAGCAAGTGCGAGGATGTGGGTTCAATCCCCAGTACCACATGCAGTGCTGGCCCTGGAACCCCGTGCACACCATGCCAGTCACTGAAACTGGGCGTGGTGGTACATGCCTGTAATCCCAGTGCTGGGGAGGCTGAGACAGGAGGATCACTATGAGTATAATCTGTGTAGCTAGACCCTGTATCAAATAAATAAATAAATAAATATTTAAAAAATTAAAAAATCAAAGGTCAGGTTGACCCTTCCTGGTTTCCTGCAGGGACAGAAAGTGGCAGAGCTCACGGCAGCAGGCTTAGGTGATTGTAACAACCCCAGCTCATACTTGCAGCTGCCCACCACACAGGGAGCTGGGTGTATCCTCCATATCTGAAGTTTGATTCCATTTGGTTTGGTTTTTTTAGGTACCACGGATTGAACTCAGGGCCTTACACTTGCCAGGCAGGTGCTCATGCTGCTGAACTATCTTCCTAGCCCCCAGGGGCCCACATCTGAGATGAGGCCAACTGGCCCCTCTGGCATATTTTTATTTATTTATTAATTATTAAAACAAGCTAAACAGCCGGGCTGGTGGCACACACTGTGATCCCAGCACTTGCCAGGTCCCCTCCCCTAGTCCTTGCACTACTTGGTGGCAGCCCTGGCGGGGTTCCTGTGGTCATCAGTGTCCCACTCTGAGACACAGCCTCTCATTCAAGTCTAAGCTCTGTCAAGGAAGGGACTGCATAACCAGCTTGTCCAGACGAGGAAACTGAGGCTTAGACATGGGTGTGGATCCTACCCTCTGAAATGAAACACAGTGGCTTGGACACTCTGGCTGTCCCGACCCCACAGATGGCCTGGCTCTTTCCCCATACCCTGCAGAAGGTCCCTGCAGTCTGAATATTTGCCCATGAAAACACCATCTCTACAGACTGAGTACCTCAGTCCTGACCCATAAAAAATAGACAGATGATGACAGGTGGCTTTGAGGAGCACCTTGGCTCTGCTGGGTCAGGGCTATGAGTGATCTGTCACCCTTCACCACACCCTATTGCATGGGGACCATTCTCCTCATCTTTCTGAGGGACAAAATAGCCTGGAAAGATGAAGGGACTTGGCCCAAGTTGCTCAAGGGCCACCAGCCTGGCAGGCTGCTGAGGTCAGGTGGTCACTGGACAGATGTGCAGGCTGAGGCTGCGTTGGGCTTGAAGGACGGAGAGGTCCCCTGTCCACTAGCTGTAGTGCTGCAGGCCACTGCCCACCAGCCCTGGGTTGGTGGGCATGATGATATGAGCCCTCGGCAACGACCCCCTGCTGGACTAGGGAAGGGCTGGCACCTGTGGGTGTGGAGTGGGAGGAGTGGGGTGGTCGGGCCAAGCCACAGGCAAAGGGTTGGATCAGGCCTGGCTTTTCCCACTTGGGTCACAACAAGCCCCAAATAACCTATGCTTCCGATAGCCCTAGGCGGCAGGAGTCCCCTGATCTCCTGGAGGGAAAGACAGGAAGTACAGAGAGGACAGGGACCAGAGACAGAAGAAGACACAGGGAAGAGAGCTGGGACCAGAGAAAGATGAGACACAGAGACCAAAAGAACAAAGAACAGAGACAGAAGAAATGGGGAGCAAAAAAGTATAACCAGAGCCAGAAGAGAGAAAGCAAGCTTGGTTGGTATGTGGCAGGACCCAGGCCAGCAGACACAGGGCCCTCCTGGGTGGTCTTGGGCCTTAGGCTTGGGTGAGCCATCTGGGTGAACCCCAGGCTCCTGCTCTTGTCCCCATACTGCAGCAGATGCGTTCTCCATTCCCCACTTTCCACACTGTGTTCCTGACTTCTTGAACCCCTTGGCGTGCTCCTGTGCCTTCCAGGGCAGAGGCAGCCACAGCTGGCCAGGGAGATGGAAGAGCTGGACCCAAGGCCCTCGAGGCTGCATCGACCCCTAGGGCCCAGGCCTCTGGGAAGTGGCACTGCCAGGTTCCAACTAGCACCTCTGGGAAGACACCTGCTTCAGACCCTGGCCCTTCACAAACCTGGCACTTAGCACAGGTTGGGTCATTGCTAGGAAGCTCAAACCTGAGTGGAGGGCTATGTCTGATGCTCTGTGGCTCCCAGGTCTCACAGTAAGCCTCAAACTTGTCACCCAGACACCTGGGGTCCACAGAACTAGGTGCTGTAACCCCTCATTCTCCCCTGCCCTGGGCCCACACATCTATCCTGCTAGCCCGAACCACCGGCCCCTCCTGTACACACAGCCCTGACTGGCTCACTTCCACAAGGCAGGTTGAGAGTCTGGAACACTGGACCAGGGATACAGCTCAGTGGCACCGAGCCTGCTTGACAAGCATGAGGTCATGATTTTGATTCCTAGTACCGACAAAGAATCTAGAACCCAGAATGTCCCCACCGTGTTCCAGTTCTGGGTTGCCCCTAACTTCCATGTGACCTAGGGCAGGTCCTTCTCTGCTGAGCTTCTTAAATTCCCAGACAGAGACAGTAGGGGCACCCCTTAAGACTCAGGCACCCAGGAAACCCAAGAGATACCCCCAACCCTGGTGATTTTCCCAGCTGTTGGGGTCAAGAGCTGTCTAATCCCAATCAGGACCAGTACAAGGAAGAGAATCCGTGCGCATGTGCAGAGTAGTGAGGAAGGTTTGGGGTCTCAGCTTCCTCCTCTGGAAAATGGATTCAATACCAGGTGTTCTTTGCACCACGGTAGTGGGAATGAGCCAAGAGTATGTGTTCTCAGAGGAAGTGCCTTGCACAGTCGGTGCTCAATAAAGGCTGCCTAGGTCACTGCCTTAGTACTGCTGTCCGCTGTCATGGGGCTCTGGCACCAGCAATCTCAAGAGCTCAGTCCTAGAGCCCAGGAGCTTCTCCTGCTCAAACTCTACAATCGCGCCAGGTGTGGCCACCCCAGGGCCTTTGCACTTGCTGCTTCCCTGGTGTGGACCAACTCCTCCTCAAATATTCTCAGAGCTCCTTCTTTTCCTCTCTCTTCAGGTCTCTGTTCAAACGTTACCTGCTCAGGAGGGCCTGAACTGCCTGCTTTCTACAATGTCATCCTCTCTAGAATATTTTCTTTTCCCCCTGTTCTGTTACGTATCTTAGCACTTGTCACTATGAAGCAGGTGAAACATTTCCTTTATTTGGGAGTTTAGGGCTTGCCTTACTAACTAATGTCAGCTCCAGTTTTTCTGTGCTGATGCTCCGCCCCTAGGGCCTACCACCGGAACTGGAGTATAGGCGCTCAATCCATGTTGAGCCTGGTCTCTACTTTTACTGTATGCAATGGTTGATACATTGTGTCAACCTGAAAAGTTTAGAACTTTAATTAACTAAGGGACTCAACAGGAAGCCAGGGTCCTTACTTTGTAACTATCCTCATCCTGTGCAAGAGGAGGGCACAGAGATCTTGCTGCTGTTGCTGTCTTCTGCCGCCTTGAGCTGCTGTCCCTCACCATGCCACCTTGCCTTGGAGCCAGCTGATCACGGACTGAAACCTCCATACACTGTGAGCTAAATAAACCTTTCTTTCCTTAATTTTGGATGCTGGGTATTCTGTCTCAGCAATGACAAGTGTCTTAACCAAGACACTGCCCAAGTTCAGAAAGGCCCGAGTACTTCCCCAAGACCACGCAGCCCAGGCACTGGGGCACATCAAGGGAAAATGAGCTTCAAGGAACCAGCTTAGCTGGTTTCCCCCTGCTCCTTTCAGGTCAGGAGAGAAGGGCTGCTAGTTTGGGGCACCCAGGAGACACTGTAGCCAATCAGATTCTAGCAGGATTATTCTTCAGAAAGAAAGGCATTCTGGGAACCAGATCTGCACAAGAGATGAAATTGTAACAGAGGGGTGAGGTGGCAGTCCCTGGAGAGGCCCAGATTGCCTGGGAGCCTTTCAGTTGAAAGCAGGTGCATGTGGGGAGACCTGGCCCCTGAGGCAAGGCCTTGACTCCTTGCACTCCCTAGGTGGGGAGTCTGAGGGCCACAGTGGGGCACAAGACTGCATGCTGTGTGCTGGACACTGAACAGGCAGCAGCCTTGTCTCCTTCCCTGACACAGAGGCAGACAAACTACCTTGCACTTGGTCAGAGGGGACGAAATGGAAGCTGGGAAGGGAAGTGGTTTGGCCCAGGTCACACAGCTCAGGAGTCTGGCTGTTGATGCCCCCCACCCATATATCCAGAGACTGGGTGTGCTGGGTGTGGCTGGAGGAAACCATGGCAGTACAGACCAGGTGCCCAAGGGAGGTTTGCAAGACTGCACGCACAGCCTGGAGCCGTAAGCAGGGACGGTGAGAGGAGACCCAGTGGGGGAAAGCAATTGGCCCAAGGTCATGCAGCCACTTGCGGCAGACACTGCACCAAACCTACATGAACAGGGCAGGAAAGATGTTAGATGCTGGCCAGGCAAACTTGCATGTGAGGACATGTCAAGTGACACAGGCAGAGGGACCTCACTTCCAGTCACCTGACTTGGAGTTCTCAAAAGAAACTTCCTGAAGCCCTGGGGGACACAGGATCCTGCCCAGGAGTGCGGGGTAGGGGGGAGAGCCTTGATAAGGTTCTTGGAGCTCACATGAGAGTCAGAAACAGGATGGAGGTGATTACTTTCTACACTGAGAAGGTGGGCAAAGTCAGAAGCAGCCAGGGGGAGATCTCCACCTGCAGGAAAGAGGCAGAGCTGCACCTGGTCTCTTACGTTATGATCCGGTGGGCTCTGTACCCCAAATCCTAATGGAGGAGGCAATATGTGGATATGAGGGAGGGGCAAAGCTGGAGTTGGGCTTGTGTAAGAAGGGAACATCACTTGGGCAGTTTGCGTCCCCCACTGTCAGGAATCTAGGAATGTGGGGAGGGTGGGCTGATGCTCCCTGAGGATCCTTAAAGTGGAAGGGGAGAAGATCGAAGTCGGCAGTCAGTGAAGCAATAACTAGGACAGGGCTCCGGGGAAACGTGTCTGGCACGCCCTGCAGCCCGGGAGCTCCTAAGTTAGGGTTCCCTGAGAAGAGAGCTATCATTCCCAGGTTGCGAGGTGGTGAGGTCACTGCAGCCCAGGTCCTGGGGAGGGTGCGGATGGAACGCTTGGCAGCAGATTCCCAATCTGGGAAACCGAGGAGGAAATGAGACTTTAGGGGCTCCGGGACAGTGTTTGTCGTTAAGGTGCTGCAGCCTCGGGCTGGGCCCTGGAGCGAAGGTTCTCAAGTCTGGGGGAGGGCGCTCCCTGTAGCCCAAGGTGCCCGGGGGAGGGAGGGGGCTCGGATCTGCGGGAGCTGATCGTGGCCCGGGACCTGATAGGGCAGTTCCCCTACTCGGGGAGTGTCTCCACTGCTAGAAAGCCCGAGGCTGGGATTCTGACACACGCTTGGAAGGGGACGCCGGATGGGGTTCCCGGATCTAGGGTCGCTCTTTGCAAGTTAGAAGCCGAGGCTGGCGCTCCCCATTTGGACCCGAGGCTGGGATTCGGATCCGGGGAGCAGGGTTGCTATCCGTATCCCGGGCTGGTGACTGCAGGCCCAGGGGGGCCGGGGTCCTACCTGGCGAGTAGAGCGCGGCCAGCTCTCGGGCCCCGGCGTGCTGCGCGCCCCAGCGCCTGCAGTATGCCGCCTCGTCCTCGTCGAGCTCTGGACGCTGGCCCGGCCCGTCCTCGGCGCCCGCCATAGCCACCGGCCCAGCCCGCCTGGCGCGCTCTGCTGGGGCTGCACAGCCGCGGAACCGCGGCGAGATCACGCCGCCCAATGACCGCCGGGCACCGGGCGCGGCGGCGGCGGGGGCGGGGGCTTCTCCAGGCCGCGCGTCACAGCCAATCCGGTCCAGCGCCAGAGGTGTGCGGGCCAATCGGTGGCCGCCGAGCCGCAGCCAACCTCGGCCCTGGGGGCGGGGTCGCAGCTGGGCGCAGCTGGGCGCGGAAGCGTGGGGCGGCGGCGCTTCCCCGCCTTCCCTGCTCCCCCCTAGCTGGCCGGGCTCCGGCCTCTCCGGGTACTCAGAGCGCTGCTGCCCTCCTCCGCCTGGGCGGATGGGTCAGTGCAGTGGGCGGAGACCGGGCCCAGAGGCTGGCAAGTCTTTTGCACGAACCTTCAAGCGCTGTGTGTGAGAACCCCAAGAGTTGTTTTCAGGCTGGAGCCCGAGCACTCTTCGAGCCTGCTGTGTGTCAGCTCAGTGCACTGCGCCCGAGGGCGGGGGAAGAACCTCTACCCTTATCCCCATCCGCCCCCAGGAGCCCAGGTTCTTCAGAGAGAGGGGACACTAAACATGAAAATGACAATAGGGATCCTTAAGATTTGTTGAACGTTTAATAACTGCCAGGCGCTGGCCGAGAGCTAGAAGAGCAGCGGTTCCATTTAACGCTGTGACCTCTTCGGAGAGACCCTGCTTATGGGCCTACTCGGTTGCCCTCTCCTCCAGTCTCTGTGACATCATCCTGTTTTTGTCTTCGCAGGCTTGTCACAGGCAGTGAACTTGCAGTTCCTGTCTCCCCTGCCACAAACTTGCTTTGTTTCTGAGGAACATTTCCAACTCCATCCCCCTACCTGATCATCATTTGGCACAGGGTAGAAGGTAAAAAAAAAAAAGCTCAGTGAAACAATTAAAGTAAGGCCAAATGTCTTTAATATTTCAGCAGGTAAATGACTGCAACAGGCCTCTAGCCTAGGTCGATCTGGTTCAGGGAAGGACTGAGTAACTGCTTAAATAAACTATACGTATGATCAGATAAAAGCTGCTGTAGAGGTAGGAAGGACCCAGGAGGTACTGGGGGAGCTGGGAGGAAAGGTAAGATCTCTTTGCAGATTTCTTTTGGAGGCGTTGACCATTTAAGCCCCATATTCCTCAGCTGCCATCTACTCAGGGCTGTTTCTGTCCTGAGTGGCTGTTGTCCCAGCCAGCCCTGTACTGTCCTCCTTCCCTGTCTTCTTCCTACACCTCAGGAAATGACAGCTCCCTTCAAATAGCAGGAATAGGCTGCAGCTAAAGTTCCTACAATTCTGATGAAGTTGACCGGCCTTGTGTCATTTATTAACTGCAAGGTGGCATTTTTCTTTTCTTTCTTTTTCTGGAACCGGGGGTTGAACTCAGGCCCTTGTGCTTGCCAGGGAAGTGCTTATTCTACTGAGCCATCTCCCCGGCCCAAGGTGGCATTTTTAACCCAGGAGGTTGACCATGCTTTGCTTTGGTGGCAGCTGGATCTTGGATTTCACAGTGTGAGGCTTAGCGCCTTGGAGGATGCTTAGGCCAGGATGGATGCTTGTCCGAATCTGAACACCCTGCCCACCGCTGGCACCACAGATGCCAATGGCTGCTAGACAGCTTGAGATAACACATTGCTTCATATGCTCTCACTTATAAAGCGCCAGCCTGGCCTGGAGGCTGTTCTGAGAAAATGAGGAGGCCGGGAGGGGATCAGGGAATGTCGGTACACACGGGTGACATTTGAGCCAAGACCTAGAGGAGAGGAGGGAGCCAAGTGTGCAAATAGCTAGGGACATGTCATTCCCAGCTGAGAAAATGCCAGAGGAAAGGTGGAGGGAAGAGAATGTGCTAGCCATGTTCCCAAAACAGCCACAGGGCTGTGCACTGAGGGTCAGGTGATCGAGGAGGTGAGGGAGCAGGATTGGTAGGTCTTGGGTTTTTACTTATGATCTGGGAAGTCCCTTCCTGTAGGGTTTGAGCAGGGAGAGTACATGATCTGACTTATTTATAGAGTTGGAGTCTTGCTATGTGGCTCAGGCTGGCCTCAAGCCCCAAATCCTCCAGCCTCAGCTTTGCAGTAGCTGCGATTAAGGAGTGTACCACCACCTTCTGCTTTTATTTTTGAAAACTTTTACTGTTAGTAGGTCAGATAGTCCTGAGCTTTGAAGATCAAAATAATACAGAGGGGTACTTATCAGGATATCACTGGATGTGGTGGCACAGGCCTATAATCCCAGCACGCAGGAGGCTGAGGTACGAAGATCACTGTGAGTTCGAGACCTGCCTCATCCCTGGCCGCGCTTTTCCAGCCCCCTCACCCCTGCCAGGTAACCATACTTCTTTCTTCCTTTCTTCCTTCTTTTTCCTTCCTTCCTTCCATCCATCCATCCTTCTTTCCTAATTGTATTTGGTACAGGGTCTCACTATGCAGCTTGGATTTGTAGTAATCCTTCTGTCTTTTGGCCTCCACAGCTCTGGGATTACAGGCATGTGACACCGTGGCCCAGCTCGTTGGTTGATGGCCAGTTCAGTGTGCCTAGGGGCGGGGCCAACACAGCATGTGGTACCAGGGAATGAACCCCGGTACTGGGGATTTTTTTAAAAATTATTTATTTATTTATTCATTTAGTGTGTGTGTGTGGCCAGCTCAGCCCACCTGGGGGCGGGGCTGGCTGGCATGTGGTGCTGGGGGATTGAACCACGGTCCCTGTGCTTTGCCAAGCTTGTTCCAAGTAGGTGCTTTAGACCACTGAGCCATCTCTCCAGCCCCACGGTACTGGGGATTGAACCCTGGTCCCTGCACTTGCCTGAGCCGTGCTTAGTCTGCTGAGCTATCTCTCCAGCCCTCATACTAGTTTTGTATGTAGCCTTCTACTACTTGTATTCAAATACAGGCAAAATGAATGCATATTGTTATCCTCTTTCCCTTTTCTTTTTCTTTTTTTTTTTTTTTTTGCGGAACTAGGGATTGAACTCAGGCCCTTGAGCTTGTCAGGGAAGCACTTATTCCACTGAGCCACCTCCCCAGCCGGCCTTTTCTTTCTTTAAACATTTTTTATTCCCCATTAATTTCCCCCTTTTTTATGGGACTACAGTTAACATGTGTTTGCCACCACGGATCCACGTGTGATGATTGATTGCATTTTTCTCTTTATAAATTTATTGTTGGGGGGCTAGGGAGATGGCTCAGTGGAATAAACGCTTCCCTGGCAAGGGCTTGAGTTCAATCCCCCGGTTTCGCCAAAACAAACAAACAAACAAATAAATAAATAAATAAATAAAATAAAATATATATATTTTTTTTACTTTATTTTATTTATTTATTTTGATTCTTCAGCTAACACAGAAGAGATGACTTACTATACACGCTTTACACTCAGCCAAAAGCGAGAACAGAAGTAGTCCAGAATGCCACAGGTCTGGGGCAAAAACCCTAGGAGACTGCTTAGTTTGAACCAGGTGGCTCTCTCTTTGATGCGGTCTTGGCGATCAGATAGCAGTGACTTCCTAATCCACTGAGACATTCTAGACAGCACACAGTGCAAAACTTGCCCAGCGCTGTCAGCCTCCAGAATTCTTCATTTCTGCTCTTTGGCCTCCAGGGGAGTAGGAGCTATTTTGCTTGGACCTCCGTCTCATCTTCTTTTATGCTTCAGTGTGTGCCTTTGCTTCTTCCTCCACTTGGCTCTCATGGCGCAGTGGTTTCTAAGAAGATGGCGTTCAAGTCGAGAGCTATCTTTATTTTTTAAAAAGAATTAAAAAATAGTAAAATTAGAAATGATACAGAATTTCACAAAACAAAATGATAGGAATTCAACCATGGTCGTTTTATTGCATATTGTCTTCAAATTAGTCATTCAATTTACTGGATATAAACATGCAAAATTCATCAAAAAGTTAAAAAGAAGAAAAAAATGTAAGCATTAACTGCTCTTTTTGCAGTATTTTTTTTTCTTTATTGTTTTTCTTGACAAGGTCTCACTATATAGTTTTAGGCTGGCCTCAAACTTCCTATGTAGCCTAGGAAGGCTTTTATTTTATTTATTTTTATGTATTTATTTTTGGTCTGGGACAGTGTTTCACTATGCTGTTCAGGCTGGCTTTGTTTCTGTTTTTGTTTTTTTTTCCCCGGAACCGGGGATTGAACTCAGGGCTTTTCACTTGCCACGGAAGCACTTATTCCACTGAGCCATCTCCCCGGCTTAACTGCTCTTTTTAATAGATCAGAAATCAGCAGTACAATTTTCTAAGCTACCCTGTGTATTTACATATGTTTTTTCCTTCCTTTTTTAAAAAAAACCTCCTTTCTCTCATTCCAGTTTTTCCATTCCTTTTTTCCTCCATAATTTTATTGACAGACAAATAACAATGAGACAGTTTCAAACCAAATTGGTAGGACAGTTTCAATAATTAACACATTGCATACATTCTTCCTAGTGGTTAATTGTTGTACAAGATGCAGACATGATATCCTATTTACAAACACCATTAGAACAAATCCCGCTATTCATTAGAGAATGTAACTATATATCTATCCTAACCACTTTGAATACACAGATACAAAATGGACATTCATCTGTATCCCCTTTCTTTGTTAAGTTCCATTATTTGAATATTATAGGTGTGTTAACTCAGCAAAATATTCTAAAAGAGTCCAGTAGCCCATAATAGTATTAGGTCTTCCGCTTGATTGACAATGTCAGAAATTGTTGACCTGAGTCCCCTACAGCTCAACATAACAGCATGGCTTTACTTCTTATATTTGGTTTTTATACTTTTCTGCTGGATGGTTAAGACCAAGGTAAAGCAGGACCTATGCAACAAGAGTTGTAGCTTTTGGATCTGAGAAGGTCAGTGAAATCCCCTCAGGATTTATCCTGAGATCCTGCACCTCAGATTGTAGATCCTTTGTCAGTGTCAGCCATGTGGGTGAGTCACAGCCATTGCTTGGCCAATGTGCAGTTTTCCCTTTCCTTTGGACAGTTTCTTTCCCTTTCACAGTGTCTGTTGTACCTTTCAGATTTTATTTACTTTTCCAGGTTCTTACACTA